ACGGGGCGGCGAGCGCTTCCTCGGCCCTTCTGTGCGGAGAGCCCGAGTGGGGCGGGCGCCCCTCCGGCACGGAGCCGCCTTCCCCCGTCCCCACGGCGGCGGCTGCTCGGTGTGGGTTTGGCCTCACATCGGTTCGCTCGGGGCTTGTAGAATGTAGAAAATAATTTAGCGAGGGTTGGCCCCGGCCTTGCCGTTCTTAACGCGCTTTTCTAACCCGCCTTCCCTAGCGACTGGATGAGGTCGTGCCCTTTTAAATCCTAATGGTTTAAGGAAAAATAATTTGGAAAGCGGGAACTAAAATTTTTCTCAAAGTTACGTAACTCCCAGCTGATGCTGAATGCAGACCAGGCTGAGCCAGTAGTGTCACTAGTCACAAGTGTGCACTAAGGTCACAGTGTTCCAGTTTTTTCTCCAAAGTGAACATAAACTCTTCAGAAGCACAAAGTCAGAGAATAGAATACCTTTTATTAAAGGTGTTTCTTTGTGTCATTGTATGACATTCTTTATGTCAGTGTCGCTTTTTACCTGATTTTGACTTATGTCAAAAATGTGCTCCTGCTTCCAAGTGGGTATGTCTTAGAAATGAAATCCAAGCTATAAAAGAATGAAAATAAGTTGCTGAATTACTTTAGCCTCAGTGAACTCTCCCACCGGAATGAATCTGAGGAAATCTGTGCTCTTTTGCTGATAGTTAGACTAGATGACTGTAGGAGTTCTCCCTAATCCATACAATTTAACCACTTATTTCAGACATTTGCTTTATTGGGATTTCTGGTGAAGGGTAAATTTTTGTGTATTGTGTGAACTTCTTACTCAGGTCTGTGGGAGATTGGAATACTCTAGTAATTTTTTTTTTTTTTCTGAAATAAGAGATCCTGTTGTTTTTAAGACAGAGGAGAAACTCATCAATTTCAAAATGTCATCAGTCAAACGCTTGGTTTATGCATTCATCCATTTCTTGAGAGAACAGAGTCAGACGGATACTTTCACTCCAGATGAACAAGAAAGCTTGGAAGGTAAGTGATCAAGGTGCTAATATATGTATATATATTTATATATATTTTTTTAACACCTACCCATGTGTTAAATTACTTGATGTATATTACCACAGAAAGTAACTGGAGTGACCTAACTGAATCTGCCACTAAATGTGATCAGTGAATAAAATAATGATCTTAAGGCTTCTGAAATTATTAATTTTAAACATCCCTCATTTTAAAAAATTCTCTGAAGTTACAAAATATGTACTGCCTTAATTTTGAGCAATAGATACTGCAAATCACATCAGGTTAATCAGTGCTATAATGCAGGATGTGGTAATGATTTGTGTATGTGTCCCACAATTTTTTGCCTGCTGATTCCTTTTACTTTTATGTTTGGTTTCTTTCTGCACTTTGTGTCTGATAGTAGCTGTGATGACCACAGAGGAACTAAAACAATTAACCATATATTGGGTTTGATATATGGGAAGAACTCCTGTTTCATACTTGCAAGAATGTAATGTAATTTATGAGGGAAAGCTTAGAGATCCTAAGAATATGGAAGATAAAATAAATGCTTTTAATTTCTTTTTCACGTGAATAGTGATTCCAAAGAGCGCATGGTAGTGAGTATTTTCAGTATGGTAGTTTTTACTGCACATCCAAGTCTTACACATCTGTAGATGTAGCTACAGGAAGATGGACTTCTGTGTGTATTCCTCTGTTGACAGACATTCAGTATTAGTATTTTCATAGTATCTGTTTTCCTAATCGAGGATGCCAGTTAAACTTGGATACCAGAGTGAAAAGAGTAGGCTGATTTTACTGTTAATAATCAAAGGATATAACTAAGTACTACAGAAAATAAGCAGTAAGAAAAAATACAGAATAGTACACTTAATTATTACTACATACAGTTAAGAAAGGCACTGCACCTAATCATTGCTACACAACGGGGAGAGTAGTGATTAAGACACATCACCACTTGCATCCGTTACCATCATCCAGCCCCGCAGTCGCTGGGCAGCCCTGGTTGCAGGGAGGATTTACAGAGCCTGTCCTCGCAAGTGGGAAATCCTACATGGTGCGTCCATCCGTAGGTGAGGCTGCCAAAGTCCCTGTGAGCAGGTCCAGCCTTATATACCAAAAATCATCAAGCCAGAAGAGCTGGCACCTTTGTTTTGAGGGGAAACATCTGGTTTCACCCTCCTGTTGGATTCCACCCAAAGCCTGGCCAGGGCTCGGAGGGGAGAACCAAGGGAGTTTCCAACGAGGCCAAACACTTGGTTTCTCAAGCCTTGAACAAGGCCAAACAAGGGAAGTTGGATACGTTCTCTCAGCATTTCATCCTCACCACTGATTATATTCTGTCTAAGTTGCATCTTTTAGTAGTGAGCATACATATGTCGTTAATGATCAGATACTAATAATTAATGCTAATTGTAATACAGATTTTACTCATTAACAGATACTAATAATGGGTAATGTTTAGTTGTGAGTTTCATCTAGAGGTCAACTTTGGTTTGAGGCCTGTTATTCAGGCCCTGGCACTACAGTATCTTGTCTTTCTCCTTCATACTGCTTTTACTCCTTTTTCTTATTTCCTGGAGACTTCATGGCTGGTGGTATCACAGTGTGGAACTAAGCAAGAGAAAAACAAAAGTCTTAATTCTGTAATGAACTTTTCATAGCATTTATTTAAAAGACATCTGCACTGCTTCAAGCAGTCTTTGGTTGTATCGCTCAACCAGAGGAGGAATTTGGAGGTAAGAGGAGGAAGTCTAGGACCAACAGTGCAACAAAAAACATCCAGGCAGTTGATCACTGAATTAGTTACCTGAAATCTGAGGTGTGGAGAGTAGAGTAGGCTCTCCTGAGGTGCAAAGCAAGTCCAGCTTCTCAGAGGCATAAACTTAAAAAGATAAGCCTGGATTGTGCTTCCTTCCAGTGTCTATTGTTTTTACAGTGTAATTGTTTGCTAATGTAAGCAAGAAAGAAACATTTGTATCATGATATTCAAAGAATACTCCAAAAAGAATAAAAGCCAGAAGATTCAGTTTTACATCAGAATCTGGAGCATTCTGTATATTTGAAAAGTAGTCATTTATGAATTTAACCTGTATCACGTTATGGTGATGTTCAGCTGATGAAATAAAGCAGTGTTTTTGGAAATTGGATAATGAGAGATGTAGAGTATTCCTTTTGTTTTTCTACCAAAACTGATAAACATTGGCTTATAACTGAAATTTTACCTGATAATGTGTCTTAGAGCAGCCTTAGGCAATGAAGGAATCAGTTCTAAGATTCTGGTTTCTGAACAAAAAATATTACAAAACCTCAGTTTTACTTAAATGCTGATGTAAAATTTACCATTTTAATACAGATATGAAATCCTAATTTTAGAGCTGTACACTGTTAAAACCATGGTACCATATGCTATGTGTTAGAGGATAGGAGGCGGGCATTCTGAATAATTGACTCATTTTAGTTGTGTAAAATATCTTTGGTGTATGTAGTGTTGCAATAACCCAAGTCCCACCCATTGAAGTGTTTAATGTTAAGTGGAGACATAAAGGATGAAAAAATTTTACTGATGTTTTCATTGGTACCTTATGTACCTGTTTGGTGTCTGTGAAAAAATAAAACTATATGATTGTTTATGCCAGGAAGTGATTTAAACAGTTCCCATTCCCCCAAAAACAACACAAAGAGCTAGAACATTACAAATCAAATCGAGACTTTATCAAAATAGAAGTCTAGCATGTATTCAAATTCCATTATATTAATAACCTGCATTCTGCATGTCTGAATTACATAATGATGTCAATGATAGTATAAATTACCTTCAGGAATTTTGTACTTGCATGATGAATAAAAATGCCTTATTTTGAAAAAGCAGAGTAATCAGAAGGTAGACAGGAGAAACACACTCCTTTACACCTGAGGATCTACAGTAGTGATAGAGATTTCTGGTGGTTATTTCTCAACTCTGTTGTATGAACGAGAAACTTCACTTCTAAGCTCTATTTTAGCTTAGTGTTTAAATGACGGTTATTTCTTTATCCTGTTCACAGTTTCTATTTTTTTCGCTTGTCTATAGCACCTATTCCTGTGGGATTAAGGCAGAAACTCTACAGCATGCACAAGGCTGTGATATTTTTTTTTCCTTACATCTAAGATCAATGTACTGCAATTAATTTCTCTAAGGCAGTGTTTCCAAAACAGTGGAATGTATCCCCTTAAGGCGAGGGATGCATGTAATCCTTGAGATGGGGAAAGTTATGTGTAAGATGAAGCAAGACGATACTATGTACTAAAGAGGCCTCAGCAGCCCAATTAATACTCATTATTAATTATATGAGTATAATTAACAGCTCGTATGTTATCTGTGATGCCAAGATGTTGCTTGCAACTTGTGCTTGGACAGCAAAAATTTCTGGAGCTATGTGGCACTGGGGATGCCGAGCTGGGCTTCAGCACAGCCCAAGTGCTCCTGTTGTCAGATAGTAGGTGTTTGTGTGAGCCCCAGCAGTTCAGCAGGAAGGTAGGTATCTGTACTAGGTATCTGTACTAGTTTCCAATGTGGTCAGTACAAGCTTCAGCAACTGCCTAGGCCCCTGAAGGTGGATGCAATGATTAAGATAACAGGGAAAACAGGTAACTTTGGCCTTTGAAATCAGACATGGGAAAAATTTTAGATTGATTATTCACGTGGTGCATGCAGTAAGTCTTTCCCAGTTTACTTATGATGTCGAGCCTGTGGCAACTGACAGTGCCTCACTTTTATAATGGGATAGTGAGATGCTGGTGCTCTAGTCTTTTGAGATACTTTTCAGACAAAAACAAGTCTTCACTCTTTTGATTTTACTGGGTTCATGTTTCTACATCCCATTAAAACAGGGTAGTTACTGGTCTGGTCATAACTTAGTACCTCTTCTGATTTGGAAAAGTTTCTGTTTTGGCTATGTTTATTTTTACATGGGTTTATATTGCTGGCTTGTATGTTAACCAGTGGTTATTATTCTAACCTATGGACTCATCCCATAAGAGCTCCTAGTTTTACTGTGTAAAATAGATCATACAGATTATAAATTCATTTTTTTTCAGTTAAAAGAGAAATGTGGGATTTCACTGTAAGAACTGATTATTTCATGGAACTTACTAGTAATAATACTAGGGATTATTTTGTTTAAGCGTATTTTGCACTGCTGCACTTTGCAAAAATCTCTTCTATGATAGAGGGTTGGTGTCACAGACTTAATGCCTTGAGAAAGATAAAGAAGGTTGTATTTTAAATTTATGCAAAACTACAAATGAGGTGAGGCATTCAGAAAAGGGAATGCCTTCAGGTGAAAATAAATTTGAGGGGAAAATTGGAAAGTATACTATGGCAAGTGGCTTTCTATTAAGTCATATAAGGAAAACTGAGATACGTAATTCCACTGATTTTATGATAGATTTGATAAGTACTATCAATATATAATTCTGAACTCAGCATAATCAGTGCTTACTTTAGAAGAATTAAGTTTTTCTACATAGCAGGAGACAAAGGAGTTTGACTCAAATCCTTCAGCTGTCTTACTGGGTAATTTAGAATTCAGCAAATTGGTAAATTTTTAGCATTTGTAGCTTATAGGAGCAATTTGTATGCATATTTAGCAATGTATTAAATTGCTACATGTTACCGACATTCATTCTGTATGTCATAACTTTTTCTGAGTAATTTCTTTTATATGTTATCATTGTTTTTAAAAAATCACATCTTCTAGGTTTCACTATTTATTTTACAAGTCTGCTTTTTCCCCCTTTCTCCCAGCCGTGATGTGGAAAATAGGCTCCTCAAGCTGACTTTACCTTTGTTAACTTTCAGTAATTTAGCTTTTCTAATGTTGGGTCAGTGTTCAGGTTCATTATAATGCAAATAATAATTCAAATGGTATTTATTATATTAACATTGGACTGAAATTCAGTTTAAATTCTCAGATTCAGTTTTTACTAATCCTTAATTTGAATTTAGCTACACCTGGTTATCTGTAGTTCAAGTTTAAAAAGGCATTTTTCATTTCAAACTAGGCTTTACAACGACTCTTCTTTGTTCCTCCTCAGGTATCAGTCAAAAAAAAAATTAGATCATATACCTTAATAAAAATATTCTACTAGATTCTCAAGATGATAGGGAAAATACATAATCTGAGATATACTATGATTAACAGAATACATATATATACAAAATTGTATCTAGTAATTGCCATTGATCTTCTTTTGCCTAAAAATATGTGAGTGCATTTAAAACTTCAGTTAGATATTTGGCTCTATTTTCTTTAGAATTGTTTATTATGAGTGTATTTGCATTATTGCAGATTTGGGAGGGCCATTTAGTTCTTACACAACCAAACATGTGCAAGGATACTGCAGACACATTCTTAAATAGGATAAAGGCTTGTGATTAATGAAGCATTTTATTAATAAATAGTGTCTTCAAATGAATGTATTTTGTTCCAAAAAAAAAAAGATAAGAGTAATAATGTATCTTGCATTTATTCCTGACAGTAAAGATGAGCCATTTTCTTCCAACTATTATGCCACACAAATATATGACAGTTGTGGTGGTTTTGAGGCGGGGCGTGTGACATATGCATAGTTGTATTAGGAGTTGTGGTGCTTTTGTTAAATCCTCATATTTTTATGTTAAAAAAAATGATTTAAATAATTGTAATACAAGTTTTAAATTGGTTTAAGAATAATGGCTTAACTATGTATGGATTCTGTATAGCTTGCACTATTTTTCAGCAGTCAGTTCTGTGGGGATCAGGTAGCCTCTCTTTATTTCATATGTTCCAAACAGCTGTTTTTACTAGCTGAATAAGGAAGTGAATCACAGCTTTATAAATAAATTAGTGAAATAATAATTCAATTGAGAAACTGGTGACTTATATTTTTAATCTTTTTATTGTAAGTTGCAATTCAGTGTCTGGAGACTGTGTTTAAGATTAACTTGGAAGATACTCATCTTGCACCTCCACAGGATTTGATAGAAATGTTCACAAATTCTTTCCACAAGGTAAGCATTTCAGATTCTAGAGTTACTCTGCCACTATGTGCTAAAATTTCATATTGTATACACAACCTTAAAGTGCTGTATAGGTTAAAATGATGTGGAAACTTAAGGAAAATATAATGAGAATCTTTTGAGACAGTAGGAGGAATTAATTTCAGCTAGACAAGGACAATTCCATATAGAAAATTACGGAACAGTGGATGTCTCATTCTCACTTGACAGATTTTATCCTTCAGTTAAGCATTTTGCAATTCCCACAGATAAATGTCTGTGAAGTGCTTGAGGTCATCTGTAGTTTGCTGATGCTTCTCACCACCTTCCAGAAATAATTTAGTTGTTCAGTTTTAAAAACATCTCCATGAACACTAACCTTAAAATGGGAACTTCTAAACTGTGTACTAATAATATGTGTTATTTGGGATCCCCAGTACAGGACACCAGGATAGCAAATAGGAGAGTGAGAAGTAAGAAAACCAAGACTGTATATACATAACAGCTCTCTTCCCCTTCTTTAAAATGTGTGGTGAGCCCCAAGGTTTTTTTAGTAGTAGAAAGCAAGCTATCTTTCTCTTTTAAGATGTTTTAGTGATGTTTAGTTCTTTCATACTTCCTGTGCACTCCAGAAAATCTGGTTTCTTGTTGATACAATACTGCCCAGGATGAAAAAAAGTTTTTAATAATATCAGGGCTTATATTTTAGTGAAAAAAAACTTGGTTTGTTTACATACAGAATGACATGCTGCCTCTCTCAGATTCTTTACCAGAGGATGTTGAAAAGGCTGACCAACTGAAGGATGAAGGTTAGTAATAAACTTAGGAATAAACATCATAGGCTTTATTAAGATTTTTGGGGTATTGTACATAGTAATAGTAGAGCAGCTGGGCAACATGCACCCTGCACGAAGATTTAAGCTTATATTCTCTATTGCTTGGTATGTTGTAAGAAGGCTAAGTGATTTCTTCCGTTGGGAGTTTAAGAAAATATAGTCTGTTCTCTCTCTTGCTCAGGAGATTGCTTAAAAACTAAGGGATAACATGTGAAGTTCTGGGCAACGTTCCTGACTAGTAGAAGCTTAAAAAAGAATGAATCAGTATATTACAGATTTCTTCTTTGTCCATGGAATTGTTATACAAGTTTCTACTTTATATTGAAACAGTTATGTGATACTGATGATTATGTGCTAGCTGAATACTAAAACATGGCTAAAAAGCTGACCTAGCTGAAGCCAACAGAAAAATTCTTGTGAACCTCCTAGGGTCAGTATTTCACATATGTGAAATAATTTGTGTGTTCTATAAAAACTGCAGAAAAGACAGTTGTTTCTTTTCCCTTTGGTAGATGTTACAGCTGTTATCTGAGGAAAAGCAAATGTACCATAGAAGTCTTCACTAATGCTAGCCAGGAATCTATTTTACTTACCCCCAAAAAGGAGAGGGGAAAAAAAAAAGGCATGTAGCACTGATAACTGTTATGAATTGTTATCAGGTGGATTGATGCTTTATAAATCACATTTTTTATGACCTGTTGGATTTTCAGATATTTGAGTTTTACAGAAAAAAAAAGTTTCTAATAGCAAGGTAGATGTAATCCTCTCAAAAATTTTAGGGTAATGATGTGGAAGTTCTACTGTTTTTGAAAATGAGTTCTATATCTGGCTTATCTTAAAACTGGTCACCTGTAGTCATGAAGGCAGTCCATTACTTGTGCTGAAAGTAAGTTTTCCTTGTTAAAGTTGCTCATTAGTTCTTTAATTATAAGGATAAGAGTTCAAACGAGGTTAGGTCACAAGTGAAAATTTGTTTGTAAGTTGTAACATACCTGCTGTGCATGCTGGATTTTCATTTTACTGTCTGTTACTGCCAGCTCATTGGAATTGAGGAGTACCTGAAGCACTCAATATGGTTATTGGACTGTAGGGGATATTCAACACTTTACAGGTGTGGCTGTTATAGCAATGCCTGTATGAAATCTGGGACTTCAGTCTTGTCATCTGTCAGCCCACAGGGATTTGTAAAATAGACTGAGGAAGTGAAATTAATGTGCTTAGTGTTAAGTCTTTGTGTGGTGTTACTAAGCAATTCTGTGTCTCTACTGAAAAAATTGAAAGGGTATAAACTTTGACAAAGGGCCATTTAAAGTGTCAGCTATCAGAGGCATTAGTAAGCAGTTTGGACCTGCTTGAAATGCCAATGGTAAATTTCCCATAATAAAATTAAAACTTCCTGCCCTGTTTTCTAATGCTGCTCTGTCATATTAATCCTCCTCATTTTCATACATGTATTATCTATCACCACTATCATGTTTTTCAGTTACGAGTACTTTCTGCTCTGAGTTACAGAGATAGATACCTTGGGGAAGTCCATCTGACCCATATCTTCTATAATACTGTAATTCTGTAATTCTGTCATTTCCTCATTTCTATCTGTATGTCCTTACCAGTGGAATAACTTCCCTTGCCTTTGTGGCCACCAGCCTGCTCCTCATCTGCTCTCAAAGCCCTAGTACCTGTAAAAATTGGCTAATGAATGGTAGAACAAAATCAGATATTTGAGTTTTCTTTTTTGGTTGTTTTAAAATTGGCAAGTAATATACCTTCCAGACTAGAATTTACTTGCCTACCTTTGTATATCACTTGACACTTTGACTTAATGTAAACTATGTGAGAGCAGAGATTATGTGCAGGTTTGTATAGTGTAACAGTGGCTTGATCCTAAAAAGATCTGGGTATTACAATGATATAAATCATAATAATAGTACTATTTTTGTTATAGAGGGCACACAATTTATAGCCGTTTTGGGGTCTTTTTTGTCTTATGAATTTTTGTGTGATGTTACAATAAAATATTACTGTTGCTTTTCCTTTTGTCCTGTATTGCTTAATCTCGGCAGAACTAGTAGGTCTAGCTATTTTTCTGGGGTTTTTTAGCCAATTTTGAGCTGGAGAGAGAGAGAGAGAGCGAGCAAGAAGGGTAACCACTGATAGTTGCTCCAACTTAGCCCTGTACCCCAGGTTGTCTTTAGTTCAGAGCAGTATCAGAAATTCCAACTTCGATAGTCATTGATGGCAATTTTGTTTTAGAGAAATGACTGGTGCAATCTCGTTGAGTGCAGCTAACTTGCAAGTCTTTTATCTGACAATAGGATTTAGTGTACAGATCTTTACCTTAGATTAAAGGGAGATGTGTAGATGGTGAGCCTGTAGAACTGAGACAGATGTGGTTACATTCTCTGTATGTTTTGAAGGTATATGCAATTATAGTTTGTTTGCCTTCTTACTGGCAGGGATTGCTGACTGTAGTTACAGTCTAGTATATCACTATTGGGAAGAGATGATTTTGTACTACCTTAATGATACTTAGTTACTTAAATCTTTTTCTTTATCAAGCTCTGCATGTTCACAAATAAATGAGAGTATAGTTATTTTTAGTTAGTTACAGGTGCCTAGGACTGCTTGCTCCACAGTCTTTTGCTTTCTGTCAGAGGCAAAATATTGCACTGACTGAACTTTTCCAGCCTTTGCTTACCAGTTATCTGTAGTAACCTACTGACCTATCCCTTCTCTTGCTTAAGAGGGTTGAAATATTTTGCCAAAATACAAGGAAGTCAGTGGAAGTCCGTAATTTTCTTGACAATTTCTTGACATTTCTGTGAAACCAAGGCTTCTGTAGGATCTAGCAGGCCAAAGGTCCATAGTCGCAGGACCAGGGACAACCTTAAGCTTGGGCACACTACTACTCTGTCATCAGGAAAGAAAGAAACTACCAGGACTGCTCTTGATTGGAGAGGAAAGTATGTCTAAGATATCTTTGGTTTTGAAAGACCTTACTCCTGAATTTTCTTTCCATAGAAAAGTTGTATTTTTCTATTGTTTCATGGGACTGATAAAACTTTGTAATAGAGTAGAAATTCTGAGCTTTGTGAGTGAGAAATGTTACCTCTGAATCATTTTAGATTACCTGTGCTATACATGCTTTTCATATTAATTATGTATACATACTTTTAATCTTAATTAATGAATTATGTGGCATCACAGAAGTTGGGCTTATGTGCTTAGTTTTGCTTTATTTTATTTTCCATGTTACTTGGACAGTTACAAGGAAGTTGTTGGGACGTGTGAGAAAATGAGACCAAAAAGGAATTAACATACAGCCTGTTGGATTATGCAGCTTGCAAAGATAGTTAAAACTGATGAATCGATATTAGAGTAGAATTGCAATTACAATTACACTTCTCACACAAAGTGACCTTTGCTTAACAGCAGAAACTATCTGGAAAGTGCAGTATAGCAAGATGAGAAGGGGAAGGTTTATGTGTTGGACTATGATGTAGATAATAAACTTTACAGACATAGCAAATACTTCTATTTGCATTATTCTGTGCCAATTCTATTTAAAAGAATGTATCTCAAAAAAGTGCAATTATAACTACCTTATGTAGAAGCTATAATGTGGCTGCTCTATTTCTCATACATAGCACTGTATTTTTAACTACTTAAGAGCTTTTTAAAATTTATTTCAGGTAATAATCATATGAAAGAAGAAAATTATGGTGCTGCAGTGGATTGTTATACTAGGGCTATAGAACTGGATCCAAACAATGCGGTCTATTACTGCAACAGGTAAAAACAAAATAGCACGCTTTTAATTCCTGAACTTCATTAACATTATTTTAAAGATAAATTGTGAAGTAGATCAAAACAACACAAGGCGAGAAAAAAAAACTATAAAGAAATATTAAATTTTTAAAAGCTCTAGAGTGAAAGTCAGCTAAAGGTATAACATGGGCTTTAAAATTACATGTTAAAATTACTTGAGATGAGGTTTTTGTGAGTTAAGTAGTGTATATTAAATCATAACATAGGCTGTGATTCTGTTTGTTGACAGTGGTAAGATTTTTTTTTTCCTGGTGTTCTACTGACTCATCTGCCATCTCCATCTCCCCTACTATTGACTTTCTCTGGAAAAAAGTATCAATGTGGGAAGACTATTTCTGAGATTTCAAGCATTGTATAAATACTCAGCATTTTTATGCATGACCTGTTGAAAAATAACAAGGATGTTGTAGTTTTATTGTATAATCTAGTCTTCACCATAGTGAAGACATAGTGACATGGGATTAGATGAATCACAGAATGGTTTGGGTTGGAATGGACCCTAAAGACCATCTAGTTCCAACCCCCTGCCATGGGCAGGGACACCTTCCACTAGACCAGGTTGCTCAAAGCCCTGTCCAACCTGGCCTTGGACACTGCCAGGGAGGGGGCATCTACAGCTTCTCTGGGCAACCTGTTCCAGTGTCTCACCACCTCACAGTGAAGAATTTCTTCCTTATATCTAATCTAAACCTGCACTCTGTCAGTTTAAAACTGTTAAAACTGTTACCGTTTCTTCTATCTCTGCGTTCCCTGTTAAAGAGTCCCTCCCCATCTTTCTTGTAGGCCCCATTTTAAGTATTGAAAGGCTGCTATAAGATCTCCGTGGAGCCTTCTCTTCTCCAGGCTGAACAACCCCAACTCTCAGCCTTTCTTCATAGCAGAGGTGTTCCATCCCTCTGATCATTTTTGTGGCCTCCTCTGGACCTGCTTCAGCAGGTCCATGTCTTTGCTCTGCTGAGAAATCCAGAGCTGGATACAGTACTCGAGGTGGGGTCGGACCAGACTAGAGTAGAGGGGAAGAACGAAGTCTGGAAGTGCATGTTAACCCAGTAGCATAAGTATGCTCTTTCAGAATACTGCCCAGAAGACTTGCATAACAGCAAAGGCAGTACAGTCCATGAGCCCTACTGGAACTAGCCTGCCTCTAGTGCCACTCCGCTCTACACTCTTCAGTGCTTCCATTACCAGAAGGATATATTAAGGATATCAGGGGGAAAGCCAACAGGGCAGATGTTGTAGTAGGAGTCTACTATAGGCCACCCAACGAAGACAGAGAGGTGGATGAGATATTCTTAGGCATTTAGGTGAAATCTCACGATTGCTTGCCCTTGTTCTTTTGGGCAACTTTAACTTCCCAGACATCTGCTGGAAATACAACACAGCAGAGCGGAACCAGTCCTGGAGAGCCCTGGAATGTGTGGGAGACAACTTCCTGATGCAGCTGGTGAGTGAACCAACCAGAGAAGGTGCCCTGCTGGATCTCCTCTTTGTGAACAGAGAAGGGCTGGTGGATGATGTGGCAGTTGGAGGCTGAGTAGGGCACAGCGATCATGAAATAATAGAGTTCTCTATTCTTAGAGCGGTCAGGAGAGAGCTAAGCAGGACTGACATCCTGGACTTCAGAAGGGCTGACTTTGTCTTGTTTAGGCACCTGCTTGAAAGGATCCCCTGGGAGACTCTCCTGAAGGGTATAGGGGTCCAGGAAGGCTGGGCGCTCTTTAAGAAGGAAGTCTTAATGGCTCAGGAGCAGGCGGTCCCCAGGTGCTCTAAAAGAAGCCGGTGCCAGAGAAGACCATCCTGGCTGAACAGGGAGCTTTGGCTGCAACTCGGGGAGAAAAGGAGAGTTTTACAGCTTTTGGAAGAAGGGGCTAGCCACACACAGTGATTACAAAGATGCTGTGAGGCTATGCAGGGTGGAAATCAGGAGGGCTAATGCCAACAGCCTGTTGGAAATTAATTTGGGCCTCAGCAATCAAGGACAACAAGAAATGTTTCTGTAAGTATGTCAGTAGCAAAAGACCAGGGAGAGTCTCCATCCCCTGCTAGATGCAGGAGGAAATACGGTAACAAGTGATGAGAAAAAGGCTGAGGTGCTTGATGACTTCTTTGCCTCAGTCTTTAATAACAAGACTACTTGTACTGGGGGAATCCAGCCTCCTCAGCCAGAAGACAGAGACTGGGAGAACAACCCCCCCACAATCCAGGAGACAGTGACCAGCTGCATCACATAGACATACAGAAGTCTATGGGACTGGATGAGATACACCCGAGAGTGCTGAAGGAGATGGCTGGGGTGCTCACCAAGCTGCTTTACATCATTTACTGGCAGTCCTGGCTGACTGGGGAGGTCCCAACAGAGTGGAAATTGGCCAATGTGACGCCCATCTATAAGAAAGGTTGGAAGGATGATCTGGGAAATTACAGGCCTGTCAGGTACCTGGGAAGCTGACGGAGCAGCTCATCCTAAATACCATCATACAACACATGTGGGACAACCAGATGCTCAGGCCCAGTCAGCAGGTTTATGAAAGGCAGGTCCTGCTTGACAAACCTGATCTCTTTCTATGACAGGGTGACCTGCTTACTGGATGAGGGAAAGGCTGTGGGTATTGTCTACCTTGACTTTATCAAGGCCTTTGACACTGTTTCCCACAGCATTCTCCAGACAAAACTGGCTGCTCCTGTCTTGGATGGGCACACGCTTTGCTGGGTAAAAAACTGGATGGCCGGGCCCAAAGAGTTGTGGTGAACAGAGTTAAATCCAGTTGGTGGCCGGTCATGAGTCGTGTCCCCCAGGGCTCGGTTTTGGGGCCACTCCTGTTTAACATCTTTATTGATGATCTAGACGAGGGGATCGAGTGCACCCTCAGTCAGTTTGCAGATGACCCCAAGTTGGGTGGGAGTGTTGATCTGCTCGAGGGTGGAGAGGCTCTGCAGAGAGACCTGGACAGGCTGGAGCCATGGGCTGAGGCCAACTGCAGGAGTTTCACTAAGGGCAAATGCCGGGGGCTGCCCTTGGGCCACAACAACCCCCAGCAGCGCTACAGCCTTGGGGAGGAGTGGCTGGAGAGCTGCCAGTCAGAGAGGGACCTGGGGGTGTTGATTGACAGCCGGCTGAACAGGAGCCAGCAGTGTGCCCAGGTGGCCAAGAAGGCCAATGGCATCCTGGCTTGTGTCAGCAATAGCGTGGCCAGCAGGGACAGGGAAGGGATCTGACCCCTGTACTTGGCACTGGGGAGGCCGCCCCTCGATTCCTGTGTTCAGTTCTGGGCCCCTCACTCCAAAAAGGACATTGAATGACTCGAGCGTGTCCAGAGAAGGGCAACGGAGCTGGTGCAGGGTCTGGAGCACAGGTCGTACGGGGAGCGGCTGAGGGAACTGGGGGTGTTTAGTCTGGAGAAGAGGAGGCTGAGGGGAGACCTCATCGCCCTCTACAGCTACCTGAAAGGAGGTTGTGGAGGGCTGGGGATTAGCCTCTTTAACCAAGTAACAAGTGATAGGACAAGAGGGAATGGCCTCAGGTTGTGCCAGGGAAAGTTTAGACTAGATGTCAGGAAGCATTTCTTTCCAGAAGGGGTTGTTGGGTGTTGGAATGGGCTGCACAGGTAGGTGGTGGAGTCCCCATCCCTGGAGGGGTTTAAGAGTCGGGTTGACAGAGCACTGAGGGATATGGTGTAGTTGGGAACTGTCAGTGTTAGGTTAACGGTTGGACTGGATGATCTTCAAGGTCCTTTCCAACCTAGTTGATTCTGTGATATATACAGGGGCTTTTGGCACTGTAACCGCTGGATTTTTCTGGTTTTGGATCTGTGCTTCCATTACTCCAGAGTTTAGTTTGTGATAAATACAAGTGAAAGATTGTTTTGTGGCAAGCATAAGGAAAAAGGAAATGTGCAGTTTACTAATATTTTACATCTCTAAGACAGCAGTTCAAAGTGTAAATTGTCTATTTTTCTTGAGAAAACTGATCACATAAGTGATTTTAGGTGTAAAGTTAAATTAAGACCAGATACAAAACCCTCCCAAAATCACTGAAAGTTTTCTCAGTAGAATAGGGTTTAAGACCAAATCTGTGATTGGCAAGAGTAGAAATAATTCACTGTGTGTTATACGTCATCATGTATCACATTTGTGAGAACCAGAATGAATCTCGATGTCACTAAGCACGGTAGTGTACGAAGATACTTAAAATAAGACAGGCAGTTGCTTTCATAAATGTAGGGCCTTATTCTTATCTTTCTTAGGTAGTTTGGGAGCAATGAAAACACTGCCTTCAACAGTATTGCTTTTTAATCACAGCAGTGAGAAAAAAGAGCTGAGATGCCCTTGAAGTTTTAACTGGCCATATAAATTATTTGTAAACATGGAAAAACCACTTTCTTTTCAATGCATGGGAGACTAAGCATTGTCCCCAGCTTTTATGCATATATATTCACTGGCATATGTGAACTCAGACAAATGTTAAGCAGCCTAATATATAAGTAGTCCCATTCAGAAGATACTTTAATCAAAGTCAGAAAAAACCATGCAATTTAGAGGTTATCACAGAGAAAGGATTGAATATAGTGATGATTGCAGCATTTAGCATTCCTAATAAAAAAGGAGAATGCTTTATGCAATGGAAAGGTTTTAATTTCTATTTTTTTAATCAAAGAAGAATGAGAGTGTTTTGAGACCTTTCAGACTGGGGAAGTTTTGATTATTAATCTGTTCTGATGTCCTTTTTAATTTGGGCAGGTCTTTAATCTTATTGTATAAATGCCTGCAACATTTAGTATTTCTCTAGTATAGAGATGCAATTCTAATTTAGTAATTCAGCGACATTGAGAAATGTTATTCTGATTTACTTGCAAGCACGAGTTGCCTGCTAAAAAACTGAGCAGGGAAAAAATCACAGCATTCTATTGAATGGCAGTAAAACTGTACTTTTTGCTGGAAAATGCCAATTGTATAAAATACTTCTGTTTAAACAATGATTTTATGTAAACTACTACTTGAGAGTTTCAATTCTTTTAATAGGTTTTATGATGTATTTTGTGCACGGTTCCTTAGAATTATTTATCCTTTGTCCCCTCAAAGGTGAGTGTGTGTTCTCCAAAGCCCTAGTCTAGCAATGCCCTTAAGCATATAGTTAATTCAGAACATTTGCTTGTCCTAGTTAACTGAGGAAAGCTGAGGCATTGCCTAAATAGTGAATGAAAAGTCAACTCAGACAAGTCTAGAGTTAGTCATGGACATGTGAATATCTAAGCTTGGGTTCTCTTTTATTGTTTTTTTGACAAAGCTCTCTCCCTCCCATCTTTCTTTTAGGGCTGCTGCTCAAAGTAAGCTCAACAACTACAGGGAAGCAATAAAGGATTGTGAGAGAGCCATAGCAATAGATCCAAAGTACAGCAAAGCATATGGGAGAATGGGGTAAGCTAATACAAATCTGAGTAAACACTGAAGACCCCAGTGTAAACTACCATAGATTTTCTGAAATAAGTGGATCTAGGTTTACTTAGCTGAGATTCTTGTTCTCAAAGTGTAGCAGTTTTCTGAAGATGACCCTATCAGGCAGTCAGCTTTAAGTTTTATATATGCGGTTAATCTCAGCATTTTCATATCAGATTTCATAGGTTTGCATTATTTTTCTTTCAGTTTATCAACCTTGCAAGTTTAGTTTAGACTGTCATGGTGTGTTTTTTCTACCTCCTACCTGCTTATGAGTAATCAAAAGTCTGCAGTTGGAACAGTGAATCTGTTAATGATGCTGTAAAGAGAACAGAATGCTAAAAGTATTGGGGCTTCACATCATCAGGAATAGAGGCTTATTTTTTCTGTTCAGTAGCTCTTTGGAAACAGATATTTTAGCAAGACTAAGCTACGTCCCTATGGTAGTTTTTCTCACGCCTGAGAGATTAACAGTATAGCTTCTTTAGGCAGTGGGTCTGATTAAATGCTATCTGAAAAGAATGTCAGGAATGTTCTGAATTGGGGTATATACTTGAGTGAAGGGCCATTCTTCCAAGATACGTAGCTTTGCATTTTCAATAATCCAATGTATTGTGGGTGTGTTGGTTTAAGTCCTGCCGGGACCGGAGAGCACATTGCCCCTCCCCCACTAAGCACAGACCCCCGGCTGAAATAAGAAGAAATTTAATACAACAGTGTGATGAACAATCTGAACAACAACAGTGGCAATGATAACAACAATAAACAGCAATAACAGTGAACAAGACAAAAGTTATACAGAGAAATACTACAAAATGGTCAGGGAACAAGCCCGCCGCATGTGTGAATCGCAACCCCCAAAACCAAAAGCGGAAGTAAAAAAGCTCCGCCCCTGGACCTGACGTCAGCATGGTATGAATAACCCGCTGGAGATCCCTTCCCCCTCTCTACCTGCTGGGGAAAACTTGACCCTATCCTAGTTGAACCAGGACAGTGGGTGTGGGCTGAATGCTTTTGAGGTTATATATATATATATACACGTAAATTAAAAAATACTTGGGATTGTTCGTTGGGTCAACTGGCACAAAATGACCCATGTCCGTGTTACTAAAACCTAGTAACAGTCTGGAGTGGCCACATTGAAATTGCTTATTGCTAAATTGCACTGGCGTATGTTAAATTCTGAACCATGCCCCAAAATTTTCTGGGATGATGCTTGTTGGCCTGGGACAAAACCATGCCAGGGAGCATTTATTTAAGATCAAAGATAATGGAATTCTACCACTTGAAAACTTTCCATGATACAGTTTGTTTTACTAACAAAAGCATGGCCAAATGGCTTTTGAGATGATTAATTAACTTTGAAACTTTAGGGACTGTTTTGTCCTATTTAATTCTCTTCAGATAGTTTCTTCATATGGCACAACCTGAGATCCCCTGATTTTGGTGAGATAGAGGGAAGCTGCAGACCAGTTTAGTTGGAAATTGGAGGTTATTTTAGAGTTTTGGGTTAAGACCAGTGTGCCTTTTGATATACAATGTAAGAGGGATCATTCTTGAGCAGTCAAGCTTTTCTTTGTTTGATTGGTTGTTTTGATAGAGGATAAATTTTGACCTACAAGCCAGTGCTTAACTCAGCAGATGGATATAATACAGCTGCCATAGGCTGAATGAGGAAACAGTACTTGGTTAGTAATAACTGAAAAAAAAGAAGTGCAGAAACCAGTGTCTCAACAAAAAGTCCTTATGAGAAAGCTGTGTTTTCTGACTTCATTATGCAGGCATATCAGCTTTTCTTAGGATTTGACAGAAACTCTGTAAGGTCACAGAAATATACAGAGATGGGAGCCATGTAGATAGTTAAAACGGATACTTCCAGCATGACCCCAGGAGAGCACTTGTCTAGGTAGGAATTGTGAGCAAGGAAACTGTTGCCTGCTGTTCTGACTTGTACTGTGTTCCAAGAAGCAAAATTTTACATACTTTCTCTGTAAAAAACACGATTGCATCACAGAACTATCAGATTGCATTTCTTGTCTGGTCAGAAACTATTCTGGCAAGTTAATGGGCAAAAAGGGAGAATGTTTTTTTTGGGAGTAACTGTGTTAAACAGAGAGGACACATTAATGTTATATGGGTTCCTCCAAGAGCATTACTGGAAACTCCTGGAGTTTCATACTGTTACCAAGTTCATCACCACTAAGAGTAATGACTGCAGCTTATTTATCTGAGCTCTTTACCCTGATATTAAAGACGAAGGTCTGTTAGTGGGCCTTAGCACAGCCTTCAACCAGTCTGTGTAGCTCAGCACATACCAAAGGGGGACTGGAGTACTAAATAGCTGAATGTGGGTTATACAACAGCGTGGAAAAGATAAGTTTAGTTTTGTAGTCAGTATAAATTTAAAATACAGTAGAAGATAGAACTGAAGCTGCTACCAGATGGACTTCTGGAATAGTCCAAAGAAAGATAATGTTCTAAATGTAGTAGCTAATAGAATTTGAAAACAAATACTGTTTCAAAAGTAGTAGATCTGTTCTGTGCTCTCCTGTGCTGGAGAATAATCTTTTTCAAAACATTATGTAGACTTCCCTGATACAACGGTTTCTTAGAGAATCTTAATGATGCCACGACTATCCTGTATAACCCATTTGTCAAGCTGCTGAATTAGAGGATGCAAAATGAGAACCTTCCACTGATCCTAAGACAAAAATCTATTATGCCGAAACTTGTGGTTCCAGTATTTGGTTTCCTGAAGCTGCAGAACCCACGTTAAGGAAACCCTTACAGGAATTCCTGAGCTTATGCAAAAAGTTACAGATGCTGGATCCAGCTTGTGCTCTTAAATACAGGCTAAATCACCTGATGATGCCAAGGAGTTTTTTCATGAAATGTGCATATATATTGAACAGACAATGCAAGATGAGTTCTTGAGGGTTCATCTTTTCTGCAAAAACAAGTGCTTACACTAAACAGTAGTAGCACAATAGCAAAACTTGCTTTAACTTAGTGCCCAAGCTGAAAATTAGTTGTGAGATAGTTTTACTTAGAACACAAAATGTATCATTATTATCTTTTGATGGTCATTTATGTTCTACCCAAGATTTCTTTATTTCACATTAGGTTGGCTCTGACCTCAGTGAATAAATATGAAGAAGCAGTTACCAGTTACCAAAAAGCACTGGATCTTGATCCAGAGAATGACTCTTACAAGTCAAATTTGAAAATAGCAGAACAGAAACTAAGAGACATGTCCAGTCCTGTAAGTTAGCTCTGTATCTGTTGATTTACCATAGTTTTAACTGGGATTTTATAGGTAAACCTATCTTTAATTGTAATTTGTTTGTAGACTGGAACTGGACTGAGTTTTGACATGGCAAGCTTGATAAATAATCCTGCTTTCATTAGTATGGTGAGTATATTTCAGGCTTTACATTATACTGCTTTTAAAACCAAAGTTTTAAGAACAACACTTCCTTTAATAACACAAGTAATTTTAATGCTTATTATAATGGAAATGGTTTTATTACACTGAATTTAAACTTTTCTAAGTCACTCAAAACATAAATCTATAATGCCCATCTTCCATGTGATTCGATCTTAGTTATGAACAGCAATATGCACAGATTAGCTATGCTGTTTTAAGAGATGGCATGATAGTAAAACACTTGTCAACAGCATGGTGAAAATTTATTTTCTATTCTCCACATAGCAGTTAACAACAATGAATACAAACAAATAACCTCTTAAGTGAATAGTAGTTGATTCAGATGCAGTCTGCCAAACACTAAAATAACTACTTGGAGAGAACTACCCAAGAGACCTTTCTGTTCTTACACTTTCAAATTATCCCAGACATCCTTAGTGTGCAAAACTTCACGAGATGTGCAAACAGTGAGTATAATTAACATATATATATATATATATAGTGTATTCCTTTACTTCCAGTACAACAGCAAATTGTGGTTTTGTCCCTCAGTAATTTTTTCACCATGCATGGCTTTCTTAGCTAAACGGTATTAATTAACTTTGAAGAATGGAATTTGGATTAAAAAATGAAAAAAAATCCTTACTTCCTTTGAGAAAAAAATACTTATTTCCTTTAAAACTTTACTTGCCCCTCCAGTAGCTTCTTTAGAACGGGACATTTCAACCAGTGCTTCCGTGTGGAAATGTACAGCACATGAAAGATCGATACATCTGGTCTGATACTGTGGTCCAAATAATAAAGACGGTAGGCAAAGAAGAAGTGAGTGAGTTCTCCGATAGCATTACTGATTAAAAAGGACTGGAACTCTGTGTACCACTTCAGTGACCACATGACTTATTCAGTCTGCATCTGTTTAAATTCAAAAGATGTACTCTTCAATATGGGAAAGGATTTTTTGCGTCATTTCCAGAAGATGCCTGGGCAAGTGGATAGAACACAGGGCATTCAGCCAGGAACAAATGAATTATTTTCCTGTGTTGTAGTTTTTCTTTTGAAGGAAAAAAAATGACTCGCTGTCTGACCTTGAGAATTACTTGCCGCCTCCATTTTTGGGCCCCTAACCTACATCACAGTTGTTACTGGTGAAAGAAACAAAAAAAAATTCCTGTATTATGCAGTAATACTTCAGTATAAAATGTGTTATAATTTCAGCTGTATGTTGTTTATTCTAGGCAGCAAGTTTAATGCAGAATCCTCAAGTTCAACAGTTGTAAGTATTAAAGTGGAGTACCATTAAAACAAATGTCTTTAAGGGTGTGAATTAGTAAGAGAAAAGGAGGGTAGTACTGTATTCCTGAAAATGTAATTTATTTTTGCTTACTGTAAACAAAACTACTGCAGATTTTTTCTCTTGCAGCTTATTTCCTCCCAGCAATTCAAAAAAAGAACTACAGTATATTGCTTACTATAACGGTCCCTGCATACCCCAATGCCAACACTGTGCTAACTGTTTCAGGATGTCAGGAATGATGTCAAACGCCATTGGTGGCCCTGCTGCGGGTGTTGGTGGCCTGTCAGATTTGTCCAGTCTGATCCATGCGTAAGTAAGAATTGCATAGTTTTAACTGGTGCATTTGTAGAAGCATCATTGTGCAACATCTATTTAAAAGGGCTAGTGTCAAGCCAATTACACTGTGGCCTGTCCCCATTGTATGCCTGATTATTATTAAAACTGAGAACTTGAAGACTTATTTTCTACTATCTTGTTTGTTTGCTTTGTACATTTCCATCAGTTGGAATAACTGAATTTGTGTGCTCAGTTTCACTTTCTGGTTCTCATACACTCTTCTTGATAAATGCCACTTACTAAAAATGCTCCTTTAAATCTTTTAAGTTCTCCTACACTTGCTTTCAAATTGTGTTGATAAGTTTACTATCTGATATCACAGACACTAGTTAGAAAGGTTACAGATTTTACTTTTTACAGGTTGCAACAAGTTCTGCTCTGGCATCCCTCCATTTACACAAGGGAAGCTTCAGGGAACTCAGTACAAAAAGCAAGACCCAAATCTAACAATAATCATCTTGGAAGAGCCTACACAAAAATCTCATTTGCTTATATGGCAAGACCTCTTAAAGGGCATACCATTTTACTTTATTTCAGCATTCTAGCCTGTTTCAAACTATTTTTCAGTTTTGCCCCTTCTAATTTATAATTCACATCATAGACAGGAATGTGCTCCCACAAAATCAAGGGCTGGTTTCACAAAAAATATGTACTTCACCTAGATCTATGAAAATGGTGGCTTTCTTTCAACTGGCACTGTGGTTTGAATGAGTCTTAGTAATTTGCTACTTGGGCAAAATGAAGGAGTTACAGAGAAGCCATAGTAGTAGTACATTTTACTTACTTGCCTTTTTTAGTAAACCAGTGCTATATTTATCTTTTACATGGAATTAATCTAACCAATTAATCTAACTCCTAAGCAACAACTGATATGGAGATGGATCTGTCATTACTTCAGTCATATAAGACAAAAGGTGTAATTGTATGCTTGCTTTCTACTAATGACATCTTGCTCACAAGTACAAGTTGGCAGCTGCACACTGTGTTTCTGGAAAAACTAATGTAAGGTTGTACTTCAACTACAAAAGTAGTTATCTTAAACAACTAGAACGGATCCTCTCAAAAAAGAAAGGAGCGAATCACTGGAGCATATTTACTGCTAAATGCTAATTTTACCAAGTTAAGGTAGTACTTTTTTTTCCATGTTATCAAGTAGAAGAGTCCTAAAGAAAAAAAATTAAGATCTGATGATAATCCTGTTCGGAGACACTTTAGATAAAGTCATAATACTACAACTACCTTAAGACTATGCAGGAAGTTATTTTTAGTCTTAACTTTCATAAAATGCACCTTTCAGTTGTACTGGGTTATCCTGTTTTCTTACAAATGCTGCTTGTCATTTTTTTCACTTGTTGATTTAACTTAAAACTGTTCAACACAGGGGGCAGCAGTTTGCACAACAGATACAGCAGCAGAATCCAGAGCTCATAGAGCAACTGAGAAACCATGTCCGGAGCAGATCTTTCAGTGGCAGCACTGAAGAGCATTCCTGACTTAAAGGAGATGTGTGAATTGGAATGGTATATAATCCCAAAATGCATACCATAGTTAGTAGCAAAAGCACCATTGTAACTCTTCTGCTTGAATAGAAGACAGAAAATTCTTTGTGTGTGTTGGCAAACTAGAATAAATCTGTTAAACAGATCTATTGCACATAACTTCAAACATACCGTTTATGTATAGTTACTCCTCTGAAAATTAATACACTAAATAGGTATTGAAATCCCCAAGTACAAATCATTTTCAGTATGTGCATTAGATTGATCTCCAGGGCTATTGAATGCAGAGTCTTGTGGGGGGCTGATCTTGCGTAACAGCTTAATTCTAAAATGCTAGTGTAAACGGCACATTATTCTTATGGTGAAGTTCATTATGGCTGTACTCCCTGTCAAATATTGAAACAGAAGGCCCATCTGATGTGCCCTTTTATAATGAACATAAATCAGTGTTGGGAGTAGTATAGAGTGTACTTAAAACTAATGCTTAGAAAGTCTGTTTCTTCAAGCCTGTGGAGGGGCTGTCATTAGTAACATGAAATATTTTTCAAATTCATTGGGCATAGGGGAAGGAGACGATTGCATAGGAGTACCACAGAATGCAGAGAAAGAGAAGACACTAATCCTGAGTAAAATAATACACAGAAACCAAAATAGAACTTGGCTTGGGAAAGAGTGTTATGGAGTTTTACGCTTTTCTGCTGCCATGTACATCCTCAAATCACGATGGTAGCCCTGGAGGTCAGCATTATGGCACTATTTTCCTAGGCATGGCAAACTGTATTACATTCCACATGTATGCAGTATTTAACATAAGCTTTAAATTCTTAATTGTAATAAGCTAAAACTAGTCCTGTGACTGTACAAATAACTAGTACTGAAAATTTATCAAAAAATAACTGCCTTAGAAGGATTCTTTCTATTCTTGCATGGTAAATGACTGGCTTAAACAATTAAGGATTTTTTTTTTTTACGTTTCGTTACACATACCTATCTTAAGTGATGGTTATATGACCAAGTTAAAGATTCTTCCACTCTGTAATATTTCTGTTCCTACCCTGGCTTTTCTAGCTTAGTGAATCTTAGAGATCACTGCTTTTCTGTATTATGATGTTAGCTTCTTTTTTATTCTGCTTACTGTTCATGATGCTTTCTGGTACAAGGTACAGTTGTTTTTACTTTAGAGAGGTTCTCAACACTCACACTTTCCTCTTTGTATATCAAAAACTGATTTGAGGAACCTGCTTTGATTTCTAAGACAGACTGATTTCTGATGGCCAGTTAGACTTGAGAAGGTATGTGGAGGAAGGTATGTGGAGGAGTAACAGTAGACTCCCAAATGGAGAAATACACAGGAACTCCTGGATTCCAGACATCATATCTGATTCATCTTGCAGGCAGAAAAGAGCACCTCGAATAGAAGCAAATACAAAATCTGGGGCGAAGTCATGTCCTGACTAACAAATGCCAGTTGTGCATTTATTGTGTGAGTATTCCCCTACTAAAACGGGTAAAATATGCAGATGGATCCAAGGGGAAATTAAGAGAATTGGATAAAACACAAAAATAGGAAATCCATATTACCATTTGATGAATAAAGTGGTAAAGTTTAATAGAGAAACTTAACTTTAAGACATTTCATACTTTATTCAATAGAGCTTGCATATATACACAGCATTAAAATTATTTTTAAAAATTCTATATTTAAGTTGCTGTAGCTGCCTTTCTGAGGCTTTAAAGATAAGCCTTACATTAAATACATTTCCAAGTAACAGGTATTGACTTAACATCTGATGACAAAGAAGAAAATCCCTAACAGGATTTTTTTTTCTGAAGTAGTTCAGATCCTGAATCTAGTCCATTCAAGAAAACTGCCACTTAAGTTCAGTTACATTTAATAGGACAGGATACCATTTACAAGAAAGATCAATGGAGGCTGTAGGTGGACTACAACTACTGTACATTGCTTAGAATAACGTGTGCTTCAGGAGAAAAGCATTGCTCCGAGCATACCTCCTGTTAAACTTCATGGTTCCTCTTAGTTTTCTCTTTCAAATGTCAGAGTAAATTTTACTAATTTTGATAAGGGGAACCAATAAATCCAGAGTGGACTGGGCAGCACTGCAGTATCTTTCATACATTTATCCTTTGTGACAGCAACCTTCATGCAGTCATCTTTCTACTTTAAGACCGAAGTGTCAAGAACCTCTTCAGAGTTCCTTAAGAACTACAAAATATGGGAGTATTATAAGACTGGCTGTAGAAGTTGTACTATGAAATACAAGCCCTATAGTTATCTGGATTTATTGGAGAACTATCCCCAAGGTTAAATGAAATGAAGCGTTGGTTAGTTACTTGAAAACAACTCTTGAAATCATCTTATAGAGTGGTAACTTATTTCACATACTACAGTATTTTCATGTTTAGGTTTTACTCCAGTACAAAAATATGTAACCAGAATATTTATTAAAACATTGATGGCATTAGCTAACCCTTTAGGAATGTGCTATGACTGGCACAATACTTAACTTGTTAAAGTTCTTTGTTTCTGGTATATTAACATAAAGGGCTTTGTAGCCTAACTAAAAAACAGTTAAATCAATAATAGGAGCTGTCATTACACGCTTTCCCATTGAAATCGGGACAGAGGGATCATTTATGCTGAAGTCTATCTTGCCTCGAATAGGCTAGATTGTTTCACAGTCATGCAATATGTCTTTATCACAGGGTGAGATCAGAATCTTTTCCTGTGTAATAACTGCACTTTATTTTGCACTAATTTTTTTCATCCTGCTAGATCAAGTGGTAAACCATAATCCCTGTAAATACTGCTTTAATTTAAGGTCAACTGCATTTTATCATTCAACTGAGCAAATATGCATTTAACACCAAATTGGTTTCATATCATCACTGTTCCATCAGCATATAAGTGTGATAATTGTTAGAGAAGAAATTGTTTTGCACTCAAATTGTAAACTGTAACCTTGCATGGAATTATGCTCTTCTAACTATGCCTGATCATAAAGACACAATGAAATACTCAGCTTAGAAATTGTTTTAGTTGCCCTTTTGGTTTTGTAACAAGTACAAAGTAAAATCAGTCATGCATACTGAGAAAGAACAAAGTGTGCAGCTTTGGATTCATACACAGTTTCAGGGCCACAGGAAGTCATACTGGCAAAATGCAGCTTGTCCACCATTTCTGTATCTGTCCTACCTCTTATTATCATATGGTGACATCTCCTTCGACTTGGTTACATCTCATTCAACTTGTGTCAGTTTAACTTGAAAACAGATTATAAATAAAGTTATTTACATTTTTTTGTCTGGATAGTTGTGGTTTTACTGTTTTAGTTTGTTGGTGCATCTACAGCAACAGGTAACTTATATTCTTTAAAATACTTGTTTATGTTGGTTGCTCTGCATTTTATTAGAAGTGCAGGATATAGTTGTTTTTTTTTTCTCCTGTATGGACTCATTCCCTCAATTTAGTAAGCTGGTCCTAAATTTATCCACTATTTTAAAATTGAATTCTACACTTAAAGATTTTATACATAGGAAAACCTTAAGTAAAATACTGTCAAAGCTAACTAAGTTTGCACAGTGCCAGTATGGTAGCTAAGAAATATGACAAGCCACTGAGTAGAATCTTTTAACACCAGTTTTACTAGTTCAGTTTAACTAGTGTTAAACTAGGAAAGGCAGTCACCATTTTATGTATTGGCTACCTTTGCGTGACCTTAGATATTTCAGCCAAAAACATTTTCATGTAGGGAAAACTACATTTCGGTGCTCAACCAAGTTCTGAATTCCTTCCTGCATATGCTTTGGAGGACTTAACTTGGGGTGGCCATGCAGGGTTGTTCTTGTTTTCTTAAGAAGCTACTTAAATGCCTCTGGGCTGGGAAGAATAATTTGCATCTCCTCAGTTTAACAATAAAAAATGACTGTGTTCTGTTATTTTAGCTTTCAGTTCCCTACTAATTGAGAATTAACATGCCTGTTCACAGCATGCCCTGTATTGCAGGGACGCACAGCTTTGCACAAGACTGCAGCTAATTGGGACAGATTCGCTGTATTAAATCCTTTCCAAAGACTGAGCCACAACCAGCACATTCTTTTGCTGATACTCTGCTTTCTAGCTGCTAGCACCTCAAACAGTGCCAGCTGCACTCTCAACTCATACCTTTATCAGGCTCCAGTTCTTAGGGCTATGCAGGTACCATTCAAATACACTGCCACATCTTTTAGGGGTTTGGATTCCAGGAACTTGTCTGTAAAAGGTCAGTTTCTTGAAACTGAAGCAATTTTGTCAGAACCACAATTTAAAAAATGTTTAAATATTTAAAAAACAATTAGAATAGCAAAAAATAAGTACAAAGTGCTACTATTTCATACAATCTCACCCCCTTACCCTGAAGTAATTTTAATGTAATATAATTTGCTAGAGTGACACTTTTTTCAAAGGCTTTATTTTCAATAAATGCATATGCATGTTTTCAAGATTTTAAAGCATTCAAAAATGCTCAGAGAAATTAAATAAGTAGCTGCATTTATAGATATATAGGGATTTTGTTTTGTTTGTACACGTTTTAATATGATTTGGTTACAAAAACATCAAGAAGTTGGTCCAAAAAATAAAAAGCCCAGCAGAAATACAGCATTTCTTCTTCAGTTTTGTTTGACTTCTGAAGAAACTACACAGACTTGGGCAATATCATCATACTCATATGTTCTCTTCAAAAACGTGTCTGTAAGTCTTAAGCCAGAGACACTCTAGAAACAGAAAATATTTATGAGTTGTTACTAGAAAGAATTACTAATCTTATAAACCAGCTATTTTATAACAAACTATGCTATAAAGACTTACTTGCAATCCCTGCACTGAAGACAACAATGTAAGTGCAAGATGGAGTGATGAACTTGGGTGCAGCTTTCCAAGTTGCCTTCCTGAAACTCCACACCAGTGGATGGAATTAGTATTGCACATTTCTAAAACCAGATCCATAGTCCTTTCACTGCTGAAGGAAATTGAAAAAAAGAATAAACCCATGGGCTTTTTTTAAGCATTCAAGGACTGCAGACATGTAAAAGCTTGATTACTTTATTATTCAGGTTACTATTAATCAAGCATTTAGAAATAAGTGCAAGGTGACAAGATTTACTGTAATGTGCAGTACTTCAGTTACATATAGCTTTGTCCAACACAAGCATCCTGTCATGGGTTTAGCAATACTGGGCAGCATAATACTGCTCAAATTTTATATGGAATACAAGATTTAAATGAGAAGATCTGCAGAGCAGATACATGCTTTAGTCCCTGGCTTCAACTTCTATTCATACTGTTTACATGTCACTTTGCAACCCTTTTATAAAGGGCTACCACAGATCGTAGAGTAAACACAAATCAAGTCAAAACATGGATAAAGATGTACCAAAGACTACGGTGATCATGTTTAGCATGTATTCTAGCAGTGGTACAGAACTAGAGGTAAAAATCAGACTGGATATAAATGGCATTGTTTATTCTGATACAACTGATTGTAGTTTAAAAAATCCTATATACACACTCACTCTTTTACACAATTAAGTAAGAACTACAAAGATTAGTGATTTAAGTTTGGGGTGGAATCTTAAATGATACTGCAGTCAGTTCGATGGAATACCACTACAGGTTTCTGGCAGTCCTGTACTGCAATTAGTATTAACAGATCATGATGGAAGCTTTTTTGTTTCTTTGGGTTTTTCAAAATCCCAAAGATGTATTTCAAGTAGTTTCATGCTGCTACAACTCAGTAAAGTATAGGTTTGAGTTGTTTCAGGAGAAAATATTGAAAAATAAAACAAAGCTACCACTTACCACTCAGGAAAAAGCACAAGAATCACATGATACCATTACCTGCAGTTTGTTATTTTACATGTAATGTCAAAAGGTTCTTCCAAGTTTACGGTATCTGGTATTGTCTCCAAAGAAAGCCTTACATCGCCATAACCAGGAGCCTGAGAAGGTACAAGAAGGTATATTCTCAGATGCTGAATAGTAAAGCTGAAGTTTTTACTATTAAAGTTTTCATTTACTGCAACAAGCTTTGAATAAGAGGAATCTGAAGAAAGAAGACAGAAATCTTCAGAAAAATCAGAAAAAAAGAAGACTTCATGCTTTTGATTTGTACTCAAATCACAGCACTGCTCCATCCACTAGTGGTGACCACCTTCTTGATAGGTTTAACAACTCATTACGCAAGGATGATATTTATTACTAAATTTTTCAGGTATTTCATGTCCTTAGAAAATACCGATACACAGTTCCTGAGAAAATCAGCTTTATTCTAAGACATCTCTGCTAGGCAGGTAACAGATATACTATGGACAACGTAAGTACAGATTTTCTGCAAAAACCCACCACTACTCCGTATCAAAAAAAAAGAGATTGTTCATTCTCCTTGCCATTTCAGTCTTCCAAGCCTCTGACAAAATAATTGCCACCAGTTTAAAAAGGCACATGATATGAACACTTGTCAACTATCCAGTTCGGTCAAGAGCCAAACACACTTTCATATGGTCTACTAACAAACCTATGATAAATATCCTAGTTACTACCAACCAGGGCTGACTCAAGGTGGTAACCTGCAGATAAAAAGCTTTACCGTTTGAATCCCACAAATAACAGATTGTAAAGAAAAAACAAGGGAAAAGTTTTTTCTGTCTGATTAGGCTTAGTTGTGACAGGTTCCAATTCTGCTTATAGAAGGATGCTTGTAGTAAGTTACATTTACAACTTAAAAGATATTCCCAAAGAGGTCTAGAAAGCCAGTGACTGACAGGTTGGGATGAGCCTTCAGTCATATACAGTTAATTACAGACTGAAGACAAATGACATTTTAAAAAGCATATTAAATTGGACATTAGAGTAACCAAAGAGAAGTCAAAAAACTGGAGACTTCAGACCAGTTGAGCAACATAACTCTTCAAGAAAGAGAATTAATTATCCAGCACTGGAAGAGGACACACATTCTTTGGCTATATTAGGTGATGGGAAGGAAGGAGTCTTATGGAAAAATTATGCCCAGTTTCCCTAGACAACAGGTAGTTTGCCATAACATTAGACTCCTCTTTTAAGAGAAATACATAAACTCCAAACAGTAAAAGCAGTATTTTCTAGAATAAACTTAGCAGCACTTGACCAAATCAAGGCAGGATCAGGGCAGATGAGAAGGCCTAAACCAGTACATACATACCTGTTGGCCATAACAATGAGATACCTACAAGAACTGATGGTAAAGGCCTTACAGTAACATCAGAAGGAGGAACATAGTTTTCATCTAAAAATTAGATAATGGCTCAGAGTATGGAATCAACTAGACATTCCTTGCTTGTGCTACTCAAGAATAATGTTCTTTAACTTTGGACTGGTTCTACTCCAGTCCTGGATTAAATGCCTGTGAGAAAGTGGAGCACCCTTGGCATACTGTGGACACATCTGTTTGGTTTACTGTCACGCCAGAAAATGTAGTTGTGAATTCCAAGACCACTCCACAAAACAACCCAAATTATGGCATGTGAGGGTGATCCAGGATACTTGTTTCAAAAGTGCATTCCTGATCTGAAAAACAATGACAGAGGGGCACAGACAGGTAAAATTCTGGGCCTGTGGGGGAAAACAATGATTATAGGGCTAGTAAATGGATTAGGAGGAAAATGATGGAAAGTAAAAAAAGCCTAGAAATGAAATGATCTGGTAGCACTTAAAAGACAAGATGAAAAGGAGCTGTGTGGGTGCGTATGCCGGGTCAAAAACCTGCTGTGTCACTGACAGTGTAAAAGTATCATCAGCATTCAAGTTAGAAGATTAATGACATCTAAATTAATGATGCATTTGTGTTAGAAGACTAACGGCGTCTAGATTAACAACGGCTAAAAGCGAAAGTATTTGTGCTTGTTAGGGAAGAAACAATAAGAAGGGATTCTTTGAAATAACAAAGTAGAAACTTCTCTGCCGGCTGCACACAGTTAGTAGTCCTTGTCGAAAGTGCTGAGAGGAACTAGTTTTTGGAATGAGCATGTGCTAGAGCAACACACAGATCTGCTGTTATTTCTAGAATGTACAAGAAAATATAAGGACTTGGTTTTCATTACAATAAACTTCAGAGCTTGACTGTTAACCATATTGGTGTGTGTCTTGTCTCACAACCTTGTCCTGCAAAAAGGTTTCCCTGCTACAGAGCTGCTTTGCAACTCAAAAAACAAAACCCCAAAACTGTTTGCTGCTTTTCCAAAGACAGATGTTGCTCAAAGCACATAAAATAGCTCATGTTTCTCTGTTAATTAC